TTCTATGTTATTTCATTACCTTGTAAAAATTGATATTACAACTATACGTCTAACGTATAGTTCCTAAGTCCATATTGAGGTATATGATAAAGGCATTAATGTTCATAATATAGTGATTCATGTACATGCATCTTTTTAATACAACCGGTTGGGCAGTTATATATCATTATTTACACCGGTTGGGTAGTCATACATATTCGTTTACCACCGAGGTACGGCCGGTCGGGCAGTTACGCATTTACCATCGAGCTACAGCCGGTTGGGCAGTCATACATTTACCATCGTGCGACGGCTGGTCGGGCAGTTACCACTGATCAGTTGAGCAGTCATGCATCATACGATATGGATAATAGTCTGAAAGAGAAGCATCATATATATAAGTATAATAAGTATGTATATATGGTGGCACTTCGGAGATTCAGACTGATTCTTATATGTCTTTAATTAATGTTGACTTATTGTTATGTTTCAGTTTTGCCTTACATACTCAGTACATTATTCGTACCGACGTCCTTTTGTTGGGGACGTTGCATTCATGCCTGCAAGTATAGATAATCAGTTTGACGAGCCCTTATAGTAGACGAGATTGGCATTCAGCGAAGGATCGGTAAGACTCCACCTCTTTCGGAGTGCAGTCGAGTCGATGAGTCATCATGTCAGAGTTTTGCTACAGACTTATGGGTAGGCTTGTCAAGACATCAAATATTGCGTGACAAGATCGTGCAATAGAGTTGAGTCATATGTATTTACCTCTAGTTCCTATCTTGTTTAAATTAATAGCGATGCATATTACGAGACATCAAATAATTGTTCGGGGATTGAATGAAGAAGCAGGAGAAGGAACTAGTTAGGTGCCCCCTGCCCCAATAGATCAACGTGAACCCCAAGATAAGGCTGATACTCAGGTTTCGGGAATAGCACCACTACCCCCGGAAAGGCCTAGAGAAACTATTCTACCTCATATTCCTCCCTCGATTGCTCCCGAGCAGGATTTAGATATGAGGAATGTGGTATAGTTGTTAACTCGATTAGTAGCTTCTCAAGCTCAGCATCAGACCCCTGGCGTTTAGGAAAGAACAGTCAGTGCAAGGGTTCGAGACTTCATTAATTTTGGTCCCCCGGTATTCACAGGAACATATCCAAATGCATATTCCAAGAACTTTTTAGATCAATTGCAGTGAACCTTACGAATCATTCATGCAACAGATACTGAGTCTATAGAGCTTGCCTCTTATAGGTTACAAGATGTTGTTGTGGTATGGTATGAGACTTGGGAATGGTGTAGAGGGCCTTTTTGCCCCACCAGTGGGAAGAAGGGAGTTTTCTGAGGCATTTATGCAATAGTATTTACCTATTGAGCTCCGTCGATCCGGGAAATATAGATTTCTACGGTTAGAGCAACGTAATATGAGTATTTGAGAATATTGCATAAAAATTAATTCCTTGACTATGTATGCCCCTTCGGTTGTGGCTAACATGAATGATAGAGTATATCGATTTGTGGGAGGTTTGGGACCACATTTGATTAATGAATGTACTACTGCTTCTTCGAATCAAATTATGGACATTTC